GCAAGCCGAGATGATGGACATATTTAAGGCTTTTCCATTCTCAAAGTATATAGGATAAGCATTGTATTCACTTTGAGTGATATTACAGATTTTATAAAAAAGCCTTGATTAAATCACTATTGTTGTTGCAGTTGTTAAGTGCTGTTGAGGCATATCCAACTCATAGCTACTCTGTATAGGGTTTCCGAGAGTAGCTAGTGGGTTTGAATTGGCAACCTTGCTGTTAGCATGGTTAGCAATCCAGTGTTTATCCTACAGTGTCACACCAGGGCTCTAAATCAATATTCTGTCTAATATTGAACTGTTATACTATATAAAGGAAATTATTTGTATCTCATTTAGAAGATTTAGAAGTGCCAATCCCATACCAAGTCAAGTAATTTAACATTATGAAATAATTATTATAAAATACTAGATGCTTTATGGTAGTACCGTTCTGTCACTTAAATGATTTTTTGCTTTCAATAGAGTGATCTTATTTCTTCAAAACAAATTATAGAGCATGGATACAGAATTACTCTGTTAATTTTCATTTTCAGTAAATATAATACTTAAATGACAATGACTTTGTAGATTATTTTGTATCTGAGGATACAGAGTAATATTAAAACCAGATGATTTTTCAAATCAAGTTCCAATAAATCCTTCTCTTTTAGAATGAAATATTTATAAGAGAAGAGAGTTTTTGTCTGCTTTTATAAATGTTTGCTGTTTCCCCAGGGGGAAATATATTTGAATGAATGAATGTCATATTTTTTCAGATTTGAGTTAACTAAAATCGAAACCAGTTGTTGTTCAGTGCATTGTGATTTATGGTAATCCCATGTGCACCACAGGGGTTTCAAAGCTGTGGCCTTTTTGAAGCAGGTGCCTCTGGATGGGTTTATACTATCAACCTGTTCATTAGTAGGCAAATATTTAGCTGTTTCTCAATTCTGGTACTTCTTTAGATTTCTATAAAGTATTTAAGATAGAGTGAGTTTTTATATTACTATGTTTGTGGTTTATGTGTGTTATTCACTATAAACCATAAATCTATAAAATATCATCATCAAAATAATTGGTGAAATAATCCAATGGAGTCCTGGTGTGGTTTTGGACTGCTAACCACAAGGTCAATAATTCAAACTTAGCAGTTTCTCCTTGGAAACCCTGAAAGTAGGAACCAACTTGATGGCACTTAATAACTACAATCTGAACTCAGACTTGTTCCAATATTTCCAAATTCCTCTTTTAAGTACTATTTATTTTGTGTCTTGCTATTTTATTCTGAGATCACAGATTAATACCATTTGTTTCCTTTCACTCATGAATCAAATCACAAGAAATATTCAGTATATTGTTTCTAAAATGTCAGAGAAATATTTCCTGTGAATTAACTTAATTTAGAAGGTATTTGTTAACAAATACTTTTTAATTTATAATGGAAGAAAAGTTATAATAACTTTATATTAAAACATCAATAGTTTTA